CCTTAACTCTTTTACTCCAAACAGAATAGAAAGCAAACACGAGGTGACAATTCTAGGAGGACTAAATGAATTCTCCGTTAAGTTCTACGGTCCACGAGGCAGTAAGTACCATGTTTTTATATTAAATATAAACAAGAAATGTGCAACATGGAACTAAAATTCTTTTATTTTAATAAAACTAAATTAAAAAAATTTTTTTGAATAACACTTCATTCAAACACTTTATTCAAAAGTTCAAACAATTATGTGAATGTTATTTTATATTCCATTTTGTACCGCATAGTTATGTTTGCGATAAGTTTATGTTTGATTATCTTAATGTTGCGATAAGTTTATGTCTACTTTCATTTACCAATTATAATCTCTCTTGTAATTATATGATAATTTACTGGTTATGCAAAGTAAAGATTGAATTAAAAATTCAATTTGCTAATATTCGATTAACCGACGGCCAATTTCACACATGTATTTCGAAACAGAGCAATATCCATTTCCAATATAAATTAAATTTGATCTTTAATCTCAGTTTAACTTACGCTTTATCTTTTTCTAATTCTAGTTTCTAGGTTTTTGAGAATTAAGTAGAGAGATAAAGAGTAAGTTAAACCGAAATTAAAGTTAAATCTGTATTGGTAAAAACGAGAATAGACAAAAAGTTGGATTCAATTCGATCCGATTCGATTCGACGACAATAAGTTTAATGTGTAACGATAATAATTTTTATCACTGCAATTTTATGTGACATTGAAGTAACCTTATTATGCATTACTCGATGGGCGTCCTTCGACTTATGTCACGCTCAATTTCATAGTTTCTTGCGTATCACCTTGGACTATTATTACTATTATTATTATTATCATACCGGAATTAAGGTGTATAAAAGTTAATTGAAAAGTATAAGTTATATAATCAAAATGATTATCTTTACGTCCATAAATAAATTGATAAATTTTATGTTTGACAAAATATAATCAATTCTCTTCGCATGGCTTGCTTGTTAAACATTGTAATTTATCACGAGTGAGAAGCTTGAAAGTTTCATTACTCGCCAATGTAAGGCGGAACGCAATTAAAATACGTGAGTGGCGAGCATCCAATACATTTTTACCTCTGCCAAGGTCCGTGCACATCTCTCAGAACCGGAAACACTTGCGCAACCGTTTCGTACTTGCGATTTTCTCGGTTTGCCGGACATGCGTGCAAAGCGTGTTATCGATTGGCATAGCTCCGGGCGCGAAAGAAAGTTCCTTGATTCTCCGCTGACGAAAGAGATGTATTCAACTGTCCCTAAGAAACGCTTTCAAGCCGATCGTAACGAAGATACAGCTCGTTAATGACGTGTCTATCCGGATAACACGCGCAAGTTGCAGACCTGTTTCGCAGATAGGACTCATAGAAGATTATCTCACAGAAGTTTCGAGTATGTTTGAATGAAATTCGGTCGAATGTATTCAGATATAGCTTAGAAGCAGTCTATTAAACCGATTTCCTACACTGAGAAAAAAAAAGTCAATTTTAATAAATATTTAATTCAATACTGCCAACTAAACACTTTACTTATATCATAAATAAATATTTGTTCATTAAAAAGAATGATTGTTAAATTAATGTTTTTTTTTTGTATCAAATAAATGTCTTTATATTTAATAAATATTTAGTTGGCAATATTCATCTAACTATTTATTAAAATTGATTATATTTTTTCTCAATGTACATTGAAAGAAAAGTGCTTGTGACTATATTGCATGATAAAATAATTATTATAAATATTAAGAGCTCCATTTTTATAGTTATTACTGCTATAATAGTAGTATTCCAATAGATAAATTATGAAAACAAAAGCGTCAGTGACTTGATAATTTTACAATAATTATGTTAAGATGACTCACCATATAACGCAACTATTTTGTCGGAATAAAATTTCTAAATGATATTTGTCAAAAATTAGACAATTTGTAAACATTTTATAATTTATTTTCTTTTTTTTTTAAGAATATAATGAATAAGACGATAGCATATTGAAAAAACAAATAAAAATTCGTTATCCGATTATTTTCATATGCTCGATGAATATTTCCGAAAGATCAATATTTATACGCGTCTCAAAAGTTTGACTTTAAAATTTTAATTTAGCCATGCTGAATATATAATACTTCATGTTACAATATTTTTACATTATAATTTAGAAAATATTAAAATATTAAATAGTTAAAATATTTTTCTGAATTATTGGACAGTTTCTTTCCAAGTTTAATTATAAATTATAGTTAAATTATAGTAATTGCAACCATTTTTTCCTTTGAGTATATTTTTCTGTTTTAATCATGACCGAGATGCGGTCATCATAAAATGGAATGATTAAGCTTATAATTATGCGAAGTATTAGGAATGTGTTGTTTGAGAATGACTTGTGCTTTCGTATTGTTGAACGAAACAGATTTACGGAGCTGTCAATTTACTGTGTTTCACTTTGACAGGTCGAATGAAATTCTATAACCACTTAATGAGTTTCGCTTTTCTGCGTGGAGGAAAGCGAGTCGTCTGAGGAACGAAAGTTTCTTGAATCGCCGAATCGCGATTGCATCGGTAAACAAGTTGAAATCGCGCGACTACTACCTTCATTCGTAACGCTTTAAATTAAATCGCATTTCAGATAAATCCTTTGAAACGGCATAGCTGCATCCGCGAGTATAACTTCATTTGCTTTAAGACCAGACCACGAGACTTACTCTGACGAGATAGGCTATACTTGCGGGTGGAACATTCCGCATGGTAATCTCTGTCTGGATTGCTCGAGCAAATTGTAGAAACGTGATATTCAACACGATCGGATTCGATGCCATTTGCATTACGTATCCCGAAAATTCATAGAATATGCGCGAAATAAGAAAAATTATAATGGCATCATGTTTATAATTAAAATGCTAATGTCATTAATATAATCTAATTTCATACTATTAACATTTATTATTAAATTAAATATGTAAAATAACAAACGAGCTTCTTAACGTCTATCTAAGTATCTAAAAATCTAAAAAGATTTTTTTGTGAGGAAAAGAAAAAAATCTAGATTATTTTCTGTACACTGAGAAAAAAATATAGTTAATTTTAATAAATATTTAGTTCAATACTGCCAACTAAACATTTACTTACAGTAAGTAAATATTTGTTCAATAAAAAAAATGATTGTTAAATCAATCATTTAACATTTCTTGTATCAAATAAATACATCTTTATATTTAATAAATATTTAGTTGGCAGTATACAATAAATATTTATTAAAATTGACTATATTTTTTTTTAGTGTAGCAAAAAATTGCTATTAAATTTGCATGTAGATAAATAAAAAAATATGCTTTTTAATATTTATGCAGAAGGATTCGTTAGGAGAGAAAAAAAGGAATTTTGTAGATTATTTTCTAACATTAGTAAAAATAATTAGTAAAAATTTACTATTTTTATATCTACATAGATATATCACTATAATTTTTGTACTATTAAAATTTGTTCTTAAATTTGCAAATAAATTGATTGACAAATAAAAAACGTGTCTCTTAACGTTCATCAAGGATTGTGAGAGAAAGAAAGGACTGTAGAGAACTAAACAATGATAAAATCCGCTCTCATGATTTGCATTCACTATTGATCGACGTCTGCAAATTGTAAGGCTTGTAATTGATTAAAAGAAGCTTACGTGGCAATTCACTCGGATCGGCCATTCTGGTGTTAATACTATGCTAATAATACCGACTATCCGATTATTTTGTCTCTCGTGATCGATCGCAATTGCATAACGCACATCAGCTATATCTTTTTTTTTTTCTCTTTAACCACTTGCATATGGCTTCGTTTGTCCAGCCATCGCCGACGAGTTAGCATCATCGAACTACCCCGAAACGATGTAAATCAGATCGTATTTCAAATAACCTCGGCGACGTTGCAACGCTGCGTATGTGAATTCGTTTACATGCGTTATTTTCCAGTCGCATAATAAATAAAGAGCGTTGCTCCCATGGAAATTATATTTAATATCATTGGTCATATTACTTTTAATTGCAAGAAAATAAAAAAGTAAAAACAGAATTTATACCATCGAAAAGCCTTCAAAACACTAACTGGATATTGCATTATAAAAGTTTCAGACTGTTGAATTACGATATCGAACAATTATTATGTGTACTTGCGTGAAAAATAAAAAGAATGATCATTCTCGGATTATGCTTGTTTTAGTTAGTTTAGGTTTTTGTAAGAAAAAGAGAGAGTATACGGAATATTTAAAAAAGAACAAAAATTCTCTTCTTTTTTATTACAAGAAGGGTTTATGTAAGGAGAGTTTATGTTAGCTTGTGCTAATGAAAAAACTTTTTTTAACTATTCTCATACCACTTTAAAACAGATCGTGTTGCAGCTAATTATTTCCAACTATTAGTGTGCTTACGAAATTACTTCAACTCTAATAATATTTTAACTTTAACTGCATGAGCATTGCTCTATATTTTAGCTAAATGTAGTCTGTAAGTTATACGTGAATAAATCATAAATAATAGAATTCTGGAGTCAGAATTTAATATATATGTGTAGTGAGCTAATAATAAAGCTGATTGATATAATAATGATCAATTCGTTCGTTTAATTACTCTGAATCAATATAGAACATTCTCTGAATTTATGTGAGAGTATATAGGATATTAGTTACTTTATTAAAATATAGACTAACGTTTATCCTCATTTCATATCGAATCGATAACTTAAATGCGATTAAAGGGAATCTAATTATTCTTGTTCGATATATGTTATAATTATGTACGATGTGATCTGTATTTGTTTGAAGTACACATGCATATTTTATATATTTGATATAACTTGCGGAACGGTACTTTTCATATTACATAACTCACCACACTTTATTCGCACAAGTCAGTGAGTATGAGTTCTCTACGACTTCATTAATTGCTAGCGAGATAGTTATCAAGTTCCGATTGTGTCGCTTCAGTGGGCTATGGCGCTTGAACATGAATTAAATTCCAATTATATATCGGATATTCGCTCGCACGAGCGTTGAAAATGGATTCGGTAAACGTGCGAACCACGGTTCAGGATG